TGATTTTGAGAAATAACGACACTGGATGCACACTCAAATCAGAGAGAATAGTGGATATATATTTAACTCAATCAATTATTTAATAATCTAAATATAAAGCCATCACACAATTAAACAAACTATTATTGAAAAGAATGGAAGAGGGTTTATAAGGTTGAACTTTTTGACAAAATGGTTTATAAATATCTTAATTATCTTTATAAAAGAAGCATTTTTAAATTAATCCTATTTTCATTTTTATGATAGCGAGGAAAGAAATTACAGCTTAGTTTAAAAATGACCTATGAACTATTTATTGCACATGTGAAATAGGCATGGGACGATAACCGGTTTCAAGGTTTACTGTGGTTTGGAAAAGTCAAGGTTTTAAAATCACTAAAATGTTCTGCTATATCGTTTCTGCGGTATATGTAATTTTTTTTTTTTTTAAATGCGTTCTGAAGAAATCTGTGTTTTTGAAACTAATGAAGACAGTAGAAGTCAATGATTTTTTTTATTATTATTATTTAGCCGGACATGTTTACAATTCTTAAATATTACAGTTTTCTAAAATATAATGGGGGGAAACTTGTTTTTTTATCCAGACATTAAAAAAAAGAATATATTTTTGAGCATTAATCACAATTCCGTTACACTGTGAAACTAATATAATATTTTTATCCAGGGCTATCATACCATCAGAAACTTATTCAGTCCCATGCCTAGTGTGCAAATAGTTAGTCCATCATTTATTAAATGTTAACTGAACATTAATCAACATTATTAAGCAGTTTATGAGTACAGTAACAAATGCTGCCTTCTTCGCTTATATAATGTGCTACACAACTATATTTTCACGCTTTGTTGAGGATTAATTTTCACTACTAAATTAAACATTGCATAATTATTAATATATAATGAATAGTAGTTGGTAGTTTTTAAGATCATTCAGAAAGAGTAATCCATTAAAAACGAATCTAACCAGATCTATCAACCTATGTAAGAAGCTGGCAGTCATACAACAAATCAACCAGCATCTACTATCATAACTTTCTCAGATTATATATATTCAGTATATATATATATATATATATATATATATATATATATATATATATATATATATATATATATATATATATATATATATATATATATATATATATATATATATATATACATATATATATATATATATTCACAGAAATAATACCCTACCCTAATATTGCCCTACATCCCCGTCTGAAGCACAGGCCAGCAGTTTCTTTGATATTCCTATCTGTTTTGCGGGCACAACTGGCTTGACGTCTGACCCGCACAGACAATGAATCGGGCCTCTTAAAGGTCACTGGATTTTCTAGATGTACTTCAAACAGTGACATCCACCCACAGTCTGCCTCTGATCCCCCCCCTCCCCTCGCTCCATCACTACTCATTGGTTTCCTGCTCTATTGGCCTTTAATGGCCTTTAGTGCTGGACAGGTCAGTCGTGATGCAGCTTCTGGGTGGTGCCGGTGCTCTATCGCATGGCTGAATGGGAGCCTACAAGGGCAGGGATTTGTACAGCAAACAGGCAAATAGGCAGTGTAAACATTGCATTAGTTCATGTGTGGACAGCAGGATGGAACAGGTGTTCACAGAGCTTGAAAATAAGCTCTAATGTGATGTTTGTATTATTGAGATGATGATGATGATAATATGTTTTTTATTGAAAGAAAATGAAGGCCTATTTTTAAAAATCATTAAGTTTTTTCTTTATGTTTTCTGTGAAAATAAACCACTTTTCATCACATCAATCAATGGATATGCCAATTGTTCTTAAGGTAATGTCAAAATAAAGAAAAAAGTTTGAGGTCAGGAAGACGTTTTGCTAACACTTTACGATGAAGCCAAGAAAACAAGATAACTGGACATCGATAAAGTAAACGATTGTTCCATATTTGATGTTTATATTCAGGGAGGTCATATATTTTGATCTATTGGTCAGAGTTCAGAGTTCACCATGCTTGAACTTTGGACCACATCGACATGTGACACCTGTCACACAAGATTGCGTTTCCGGTCTGCCGCATTTGCTTGCATATGAATGGAAGTCTGTGCGGCAAAAAAAAGCAGTGTGACCACGGCTTAAGGTCTAGTAGTTACCAAAAGTCAATGAAATAATAATGAGCAATGCATCTGCTACAGTTTTTATTAATATTTGTTGATGTCTGTTAATAAATATGCAGCAGCTCAACTGTTCATATTAGCTTAGTTCCATTAAATAAATGTGTATTATGACTAATAATTGTTAATGCTAAAATCAAGGTGAACTAAAATGAATGCATGATTTAATTGTATAGGTTACACTTTACAATAAGGTTTCATTAGTTAATATTGGTTAATGCATTTACAAACATGAAAGGATAACAAACTATACTTGTACAGAATTACTTAATCATAGTTCAACATTTACTAATGCATTATTGAAATCCAAAGTGATGTTTGTTAACATCAGTTAATCCTCACCGTGACTCAATATGAACCACCAATGAACTATATATTCATAAATGAATGCTAACAAAGCTGAAAAAATATTGTAATAAACATTGTTTTTTTTCATGATAGTAACTACATTACTAACACTAAAAAGTGTTACAGAAGTACGTTTAAGTAGTAAGTTAAGTTAGAGTACAAAATATATTATAATGGAAAACTATTTTAAATTGTAATACCATTTAATACTGTTTTTATTTCTTTATTTATGATTTATGATAAGTTTTGATGAGAATAAAAGTAATTTCCCTAAATGAAATCAATCTATTCATCCGTCCATCTACCCACTGATCTATCTGCTTTCTAACTATATCTTGTATGCTTTAATCAAAGAATAAAAAGAAAAACGTATTTCACATTATGATAAATGCTAGCAGAAAGGGGCAAATTAGCCGATTTGGGCATGTATAATGCAAATTACTAAGGCTGCATTTACACTGCATGGTTTAAGTGACTCAATTCTGATTTACTCAAATCAGATTTAGGCCTTCATATGTGGAAAATTATCCAGATTGACTCATATCTGTGCCCGTGTGTCTGCAGTGTAAGCAGGTAAATCGGATTTTCACCTGTCAATGAAAGTCGCGCATCATTAAAAACTATAGCAAAGAGGCAGAGAGAGAGAGAGAGAGAGAGAGAGAGAGAGAGAGAGAGAGAGAGAGAGAGAGAGAGAGAGAGAGAGAGAGAGAGAGAGAGAGAGAGAGAGAGAGAGAGAGAGAGAGAAAGCCACGTAGTCAATATAAACTAATATAAACCTGTTGCACATAAATCACGCCATGGGCATTATGATGCCTACTGGTTTAAAAAAGATGGTAAAACGAGAACTTTTCGGGCAAAAAAAAAAAAAAAAAGTAAAACAATTTGTCAAAAAGAATTAAAAAAATATATATATATTAAATACAGGAATGGAGAAAAGAGCGCTTTTTATAATCTGCGGTCAGTTAGCGCCCGCATTTTTTTTGTGTGTGTCATTGCGCCTTTTTTATTAATTTTTTAAAAAATTAATAAACAAATAAATATATATGATACAGCCACAAAATCGGAATTGACCATGAAGAACTGCAGTGTATAAGCATCCTAACAAAAATATAAAAGCGTACTTAACTATTAGTGAATGAGACCCAATGTCTTAACGCAAAACTTTTATTCCTCGAACTGGCCAAATTTCCTTCAACTAGAACAGGGGTGCTGTTACGCAAGAGCGTCTTGGGTTGTTTCTGTGCTGTGTGTTTTTCCCTCTCTCGTCCTGTCCCGTTCCTGTTTCCAGGTTACCCCGCCCTAATTGGACGTGCTGCGTGCGTGCGCTGTGGTTGGTGCTGGGAGAAGTCAGCATCTTTTGAAAAGGAACCGACGGAGTCAGATCGCTGGGGGGAGAGACGGAGAGTTTTTCTAAGAGTGTGGCGTTTTTAGTGGAAAACATATCAATAGTGCTCCTGGTTGTTTATAAATTGTGAACATTAAGGTGTTCTCTCCCTTTTTCCTCTCCCCTCCAATTTTTTTGTGATTGTCAAATACCGTTTGATAAACCTGTGAGCTGAGCGCCGTAGGGGCTGAGTGCCATTTACTTTGACACTGATTTTCTCCTGTTTTTTCGTTTAGTTAAGGAGTAAGGGCAGTGTTTGTAATTTATTTTCTTCATTTATTTTTGATTCAGTAGGTAAGTTATCTTCGGGGTGGAGTTAGTAAATGTTTTGTTTGTTATTTTGGCCTTGCTCAGCCCTGAAGCTTTTTTGTTTGCGCTCATTTATTTGTTTATTGTAAATACAAACCATTTCCACCTTCTCACAATAAAAGAACCTTAAAGGTCATTTAAAAATCAAACCTGCTAACTGTTTATTTATTTTCTCTATAATTTTTATGTTCGACTTCAGCCCTAGACATTTTTGAGGTCGTAACAGTGCCCAAACTCGGTCCAGAAGGGCCGGAGTCTAGCATATTTCAGTTCTAACCCAAATAAACACACCTGAACCAGCTAATCAAGCTCTTTCTAGGTATACTAAAACTTCCGGGCAAGTGTGTTGAAGGAAGTTGGAGCTAAACTATGCAGGACATCGACCCTCCAGGAGCGAGTTTGGACACTCCTGAACTCTTCTGATTTTAGGCTTTTATTTAACAAAATTACCCCATTTTCATGAGATTTACCACCAACAGGAATCTGACTGACAAGTGGTCTGTGTATTGTACAGTTGCTAATAAGTGATTGAAGCATTAAGTGCAGCCCAGAAAAATCCACTCAAGGCAGATGAAGAGCACAGTCCTCATCAGAATTTGCTGCTGGAGAAACAGACTATCATCATCATCATCATCATTATCTCACATGTCAAAGCTCATTCTAGCTCCTGCATGCTGCTGTTTTCTGCTTCAGTATGACAGTGATGAGGGTCATGTGAGGTGGTGAAGATCTAGAGCAACATCCAGGTTGGATGTGAGAAGCCTCCTGAAAACACACCTGACTTGTCTCCTATAACAAAAGCACAAACACTTACCATTCTGTAGGGTCTGCTTGCCTCCAGACAGCACTCCTAGAGGTAGCGTTCCGGTTGGGGTGAGCCCTTTGAGGGTCAGTACACTCTCACTTTCTTCCCTGAAGCACAACACACATACATTCATATATACCACACACACACATACACATACATACAAACAGACATGCATACATACCATATTAGTGTTGTGTTTATAGAGCTAGCGGTCAAAATTGGTGCATTTGGGGGAATTCCGGCATCATTACTACTATCTCCAGTGAGTACATGGACACCAATACTTTATAAATATATATTTAATTTCATCAAGACAACACTCTGATGAAGATTACAATGTAAAAAGCAATTTTTGATTACCTTGATCCGACTAAAGTCATAATTGAACTAAACAGAAATAGAATTAAGAGATGTGGAGTATGCCGATTTTAGTCGCATTATTGAAGTGCAGTAAAGACATGTAAACACTGCAATCAAACTATTACTGTCATGTAGAACTTTTCGCAGAGTTCCACGGCTGTTTGACAAAATTCTTTGCACCTACTGAGTCAGTAATGTACCACAGACACACATATCGTGAAATGTGGAGTTTACTTTTTTTCCATTTGACGTGCTGTATCAAATTCTACTACAACATCAGTCCTTACTTCATACTCGCATCCAATATGTCAGTTTGTCACGGGGGCATGAATGAAATGTTCCTGAATGAAAGTGAAACTGCTGAACTGCAGTTAAAGTCGACCAGATAACAATGAAATACCCAAAATTACATGAAACTCCAGAGGAAACAAGGATAGCATGGTAACGCAATGACTTTAATCGATCTATGTACTCATGTAAACACCTTAATCACATTTCCTCATTCAGGTCAAGGCAAATCATTTGATTATTGATGTCCAAGTAAACATGGTCAATGTCAAATTATTCTTCAGAAATCATAATATGCTGATTGGGTGTTCTTTTATGCTCAATTATTACTGGTGCTTTATTTACATAGTCATTATGATGACTTTAATAATTATCAAAGTTGAGACTTCTTTTGTGGAAACTAAAACGTTTCTATTTTTAAAGATTCTTTAATGAAAATAAACTCCAAAATAACAGCTTTGACCTAAATCCTTTCGTTTTTATTATACATGCCTAGTTTCACTCTTGAACAGTTAATGTTGTCTTCAATTTATAAAGTACATGCATTTACTTATTTTTCTAAGATTCATTCAACATTTTACATTGTAATTTTATTTCACAAATACAGTGCTCAGCATATACAAGTACACCCCACACAAATCTGTCTTTTAAATTCATATTTTTAATAGGAAGCTATACAATATTATATTTGTGCATATACATTAGATTAGTCAGTGCTGAAGCCAGATCTGGAGTTTATTTAACAAAATAACTGATGATAACCATCCAAAAAAATGTATATTAACTAAAATGTATATGTTATAGAAAAATATTAAATACAAACAAAAACAAGAGGAAAAATCAAGAGAAACAAAATTGGAAAAAAAATTGCTAAAATTTTGCAGGTTGTATTTTTTTTATATATTTTACTTGAATTTAATTGTATTATCTTTCAATTTCTAAATATGTTTGGTGACAAAATATTATGTTAATAAATCTGTGTAGTAAATTTGTTTTCTTTAAATGAACCAAAATACATTGGCTAAATTCACTGAGAATTGGATAAAAATTTTCATTTTCAAAATGGATTGTACTCAATTATGCTAAGCACTGTATATGCAGCCTTGGTGAGCAGAATATGCTTTAAAAATGACCAGATCCTAAAAGTTTGATTAGTAGTGTAAACGACTTAGTCAATTAGCACAAGGTGAGGAAGAACGAGAAAATATATGATAATTTTGAAACTGTTGCCAACCTAATGTGAATATTGTTCTAAAAAGCAAAGACAAAAGACTTGAAAATGTCCTCTGTTCCCCCATTATCTATGGCATTGTTCGTCTGCAATAATGTCTAATATAATTAGGCTGCTATTCCGCATGATGACTCACTGACACCATCTCATTAATCCTAACTGAGAAAACTGAGTGTGTGGCATAAAACAAAACTTCATTGTATGAGGAAGTTTATCCTGTTCTATATACAGTTTTTTTTTTTTGATAACTGTAATTATCCCCCAGGCATCATGCTAAATATTTAATTAAATGCACATAATTGTGTGCAGACTGACCTGAGCACAGAAAAGACTCTAGCCATCTTCCCAATGGCACGGATCTTATTTCTGATCACCTCCTTACGAACAGCAGGAGCTCCACCTGCGGAAACACAAATCCAGCATCAAAACACCATCACCTCAAAAGAACTTTGACCCACAAACAAGATAGAAAGGGGGAAACCAGTGTCTAGATGCTGAAAATAAGAGTGCATTTTTTCTGTTATTTGTAACAACGAGCAGGTATATCCGAATGTAAATAATATAAACTTTCAATATGTAGTTCAGTATATTATTTAACCCTTTCACATGCAAGTTTTAATACTCTTGCTAAGCCCCCCTTCTGTTCGCTTTTTTAATATGACTGCTAATTAGAACACATTGCTTTAAAGTTTCCATGGTGACAAGTTCATCATGTGGCACACCACAGCCCTGATGATTTATGTATGTGTCATGTCTTGTTTCGTCCCAATTCCCAACATTCTAATTATGTTATGAAATATTTTATATTCTGATCCGCAAATATGTGTAAGAACATACATTTTGTCATTTAAACAGCCTAATAATGATCATATTTTAATCTATGACATTTAAGTGTATACTGCATCATTGTGTCTATGTTAGTCTACCCAAACTTTTTTGTATGAAGTGCCAAAAACCAATCATTATTGACAACCTTGGGCTGAAGGTAAATATACCAAACTACAGTATATTACATTAAAGTTGCCATGGCTTTGTAATTGGCAAGTTTTTTTATTATAATTCAAAATAAATAGAAAACCTTACTTTAAATGGTATTAACTAATGCAGTATTAGGGCTGTGCGGTTTGGGGAAAATATCTAAAATTGCAAATTTTGATTTGATTTTGACAAATACTGCGATTTTGATTTGATTTGCGATTTAATTTTGTAGTCAAGCTGCATCTCAATAATCTGTAGCTTCTTACTGCTTTAAGATTAGTTTAAAAACTAACAACTAACTTACTTAAACGTTTATTCAAATTTGTTTTTAAATATTCAGAAAGGAAACACTAACTTTTCTCTAGAGAAAACGGTAAACAAATAAAATGACCTTACCTTTCTCTAAACTAACTGAACTCAAATTAGGAAGATAGTGTAGCTTATTATACAAACAAAAAATAGTAATTATAAAGATACAGAACACTCAGCAAATGTTGCTCTGAAGTTGTACTTTACCCTACAGTTGTCTGCTTGCTATACTAATTGCGATTTAGTTTCAGTTTCATAGCAGGGCACTCCTCATATGGCCATCTGTGGTGCTTTTTTAGGTGCTGTTTGTTGTATTTCCTCGTGCTGTGGCATCAATTCTTACAAATATCCTGTTTTTGTTCATTGTCTGTGACTTTGAAATCAAAATATTCCCATATTACCGATGTCCTATTTTTCTTTGATATTAATTTGTCTATTAATGCTTCAGAAGCAGCAAATGTCATCATCCCGCACTCGTCCATGCTTTCCTGTTAGTTTGTTTTATTGTGAGCCTTCCGCATAGTTCGGTTGTGCGTTTCTGATTGGGCAGAATGAAAGTGTGCTCACTCAGTTGGCTAGTAAGACTGTCAGAAGGCAATTTACGGCATTTGCTCTGGGAGGGGGAAATTAAATACAGATATATTTCATGTCGCCGCCTCTTGTGATTAGCTAATCGCAACGTTTCAAATCACGACTGCGATTAGATTCTGATTAATCACACAGCCCTATGCAGTATAACTTCTTAAATAACTCATTGCATTAAAAACAATCACATTTAGAACATTGATAAGTTCAATGCTGAATATGTTAGTCAAGCAGGTTTATCAGTATGTGCAGTATGACAGTATGTACATTTCAACAAAATCTGATTCATTTACACCATTTCACTGAAACATTCTTTTAGTTAGCTTCTAACAATAAAACAAACAGACAAATAAATAATTTGAATTGACACTCTTGAAACCATCCCATCATTCTCCCTTTCTTCTCAGATGAGATGGCGGGCCAAATTAAAGGTTACCAAATTTAAGGTTTTGGGCATCTATAGTCTATATCATAGAAAATATCACTTTATTTGTGCTAAATTTTCTTGTTAAAACATTTATTTATGCATTATGTACTATTATTATTATTATTATTAATGATAATAATAGCTTTTTTGGCATAAAATCTATAGTGTAGTTTGATATAACATTTAATTACTCATTCCAAACACTGAGACATTGGGTTGTCACATATTTGTTCATTTATTTACTAGATAACTGTATTACTCAAAAAAGTTTGGATTGATTCAACAGAGCAAACAAAAGTGAACCTATGTTGTTTTGCAGTGCATGCCATAATCCAACTGTACTATTAGCCTTCAGTGGCCTTGGGAGTATTTGCAGAATAGCGTCACGCCTTTGCTCTAGTTACTTAAGCAAATCCATTTCCGGTTCACTAATGACACAAGGTGACATCACAATCCTACATAAGTATAAGCATGCGTGTCTATGCAAACCAGAAAATGTTCCTACAAACTGTGATAATATTTCACAGCTTATACATAGGAGTTCTACTCTCTACAACAGGCTGCCTAAGCAGGAAGCATTGTGGGAAGGCCTAAGCAGGCATCAGACCTCCGGGGAGAGCAACTCAGACAGCATGAATGACAGTTGGACACTTCTGAAGACCTGCTGTCTACACGAATGATGACCAGACAGACAGACGCTCACACACAAGCACATGCTCACACATGCTCAAGCACATTCAAGCTGTTCTGCATTAAATTATGTCACCAAATGTGAAGCAAGAGGAAATCAGCACATAAGGCAGTTGTCAGCTCACCAAACTTTAATGAAGTCTTTATTGTATATTATGTGTTCATTTAAATTGAATTTTTAAACTGATTAAATGTATCTGTGCCAAATCCACAAATTAATCCAGTACCTTCAACCTGTTATCGATTACCTTTTGACTGTTAAACTGCCCCTATTATGGATTTAAATTTACTTTCATGTCGTGTGTAACACAGCTCTGAGTGAATGAAATCATCCAGCTAAGTTTTAAAGTTAGAAAGTGCACCATGTATAAAGTTTTATTCTCTCTTCAACAAAAAGAGCCAATTCAGAGTCCTTTACAGTCAATATTCAAATGGACCTTTAGCTTTTTCTGTCATGACAACGAAGAAAAAATTGCCCAGCCACATGTTGCGTGCAGACCCAGGAAAACCTGAAACCCCTATCCCTGAAACACTATAGTGGATTCCGTGGGATCAGATTGCATCATGTAGTGAAACTGCTGTGCTCTGCACCTAGAGCTTCTTTAATTACTTCAACCTAGAAGAGTGACAAAATGGTTGCCACCCTGGTCTCTGCAGCACACAAAATATGCATTTAGCTGTATGTGTGTTAAGTCAGCTTCTCACAACTTAAAAATCTAAAACAGCTTTCATGCCAGACAGGGAAAACTCTGCGCTATGAAACCCATTCGTTTCAAAGGCCCAACACAAGCTTGCGCTGAAATGTATTAATTACCACTGACAGTTTATCGTGGTTATTAATTGGAGTTATGATGATGAATAGTGCAATATGCTGGTGTACAATCTGCAGTAGTGTTGTCATGGTACTGAATTTTGAAGATCTGCTTGTCTGTATATTCACCTGTACCACGTCTTTGATCTTGTGGGGGAAACCGGAGCACCCAGAGGAAACTTAGTGAACATGCAAACTCCACACAGAAATGCCAACTGACCCAACTGAGGCTTGAACCAGCGACCTTCTTGCTGTGAGGCGATCGTGCTACGTACTGCGCCACCGTGACGCCCAAAATGCGTTTACCTTTACCTAATTATCCCAACTACTCCCATATGATTTGCTTACTGATTAAATTTTCCAAACACCTCCTTTAAGTGAGGAGGTAATATGCAGTGATTGGTCCAATGACCCAGATCAGATTGCATCGTGTAGTGAAGCTGCTGTGCTCTGCACTGTGAGCTTCTTTTCTTAAACCACAACCTGAAATTCTGAAAAAAATAGTTGCCACCTTGGTCTCTGCAGCACACAAAATAAGCATTTAGCTGTATGTGTGTTGAGTTGGCTTCTCACAACTTAAAAAACTAAAGCGGCTTTCATGCCAGACACGGAAAACTCTGCGCAATGAAACCCATTCATTTCAATGGCTTGAGCCACACCCATCAAAAGCTAATGCAGATATGCATCAATTACCACTGACAGCTTATCATAGTTATTACTTGGAGTTATGATGAAGAATAGAGCAATATGCTGGTGTATAATCTGCAGTACTATTGTCACGATACCGAATTTCGAAGATCGGCTGATCTGTTTATGTGCTGATATACGAGTGATTCATTGATGAATCGACTGATCTTCATGACAATAAAACACCCCAGTGTCGCTGTCATTCATGTTTGCACTCGATAAACAGTGGTAAAGAGCAGTAAACCGATGACCTTTATATCCAATCACAGTTCTTTCTGTTGAGCAGGGAACACAATATCAAATTGCTGATTTGAAATTCCAGTACTGGTTGGAGTATCGTGACAACACTAATCTGCAGTGCTTTTTCAATACACTCCTGCATTGGGCTCTTATGTAGACCACAGCTTCTAGTTTCAACCACAGCTTTCAACATTTGATAAGCTATACTCCAGTAATGGTGACGTGTGTTCCGCTTCAGACACGCTGCATGCAGTAGACCAAATTACAACAGACTGGGTCATTGGACCAATCACTGCATATTAGCATCATGCAAAGGAGGCGTTTGGAAAAATTAATCAGTAAACAAGTCATATGGGATTAGTTAGGATAATCAGGTAGAGGTAAATGCATATTGGGGGTCACGGTGGCGCAGTGGATAGCACGATCGCCTCACAGCAAGGTTTGAGCCTTGGCTAGGTTGTTTGGCATTTCTGTGTGGAGTTTGCATGTTCTCCCCGTGTTCGTGTAGCTTTCCTCTGGGAGCTCCGGTTTAGACATGTAGTATCAGTGAATTCAGAAGGCTAAACTGTCCATAGTGTAAGTTTGTGAATAAGTGTGCATGGATGTTTTCCAGTGATGAGTTGCAGCTGGAAGGGCATTCGTTGCGTAAAACATATGCTGGATAAGTTTGCGGTTCATTCTGCTGTGGCGACCCCTGATAAATAAAGAGACTAAGCCAAAAAGAAAACAAATGAATGAATGAATGAATGAATGAATAAATAAATGCATATTAAAAGACAATGAATGTGTTTTTTGATCTTGCATGCATACAAGCCTGTTGTTGGGGACTCACAAAACCAAAATAAGAACCTTTTATGATCCATAATAGATGCACTTTAATGTTGCTCAAATGTGGCATTCATGCACTACACAACAACTGCATAAAATACCGTAAGTAGCCTACTACTGAACAATAAAGTATATAAACTATATTAAATGTGAATGTTCTACCTAATTTTATTTTATTTTTTTATTGATTGCTCTCGTATCAATAAAGATCTTAAACATGGATTACAGTGAGTTATTTGAATTGTGGAGGGGTATTATAGCATCTTACATTAAATTAGTAGGGCATAAATTTCCAACCCTGTCTTGCATATCAACAGATAAAAAGTGTAACTTCAAGACAATGTTCATTTCTTTGGATAAACGCATTTGCAGAGTGCATAAACAAGAAAACCTCCTCACCTTCGCACAAGTCATCTCCCTCTGACATGAGTTCATCATCAGAACAGATATTCAGGACATTCACCAACATCTCAGTCACTGTAGACAAAGAGCATCCTTGGAAAATACATCCAGTAAATCCATTTGCTTCTTTTTAAAATACGAACTCAACTTCTACGTTATGGAGCTGTACGAAAACGATGTACAAAAAGACTTTAAAAATTAAACTGAAAAACTTAGGAAGTCTCAGATGATTTTATAAATGATGCCCTTGAACGTGCTGGCACACATTTTATGACGTTAATATGACGTTTCAGGGCTCTTTCTCTCTGCATTCTTCCCACTGAGAGGACACAGTCAGCTACCAAAGACAAGCCACCAACAAGGTCATTCTAGCCTCTCTTCCAAATGCTCTGTCAAATAGATTCACAGTCTGGACACTTACCTTTCTCGCCCACAAACGGTAATGACCATGTAAACACATCCATGAAGTTGGGCAACCAGTACGGGTGAGGAGAGCAGTTAAACTGTCTAATGTTCATGACGTTGTTTTCATATTTTAACACAGCCGCTGAGAAAGAAAAAACAAAGACAAGCTATTATGTACGTTCATGAATGTTCTCAGTCAAAAGAAAAAGAAAACAAAAGAAAATCAAGCAACTTGATAGGGTGCCATGCAGGTTTACAAACAGTCATCTTATACTTTGTAGCTGTAGATGTCTAGACAAACTAGACTCAATATGGCAGCTATTACAGTTTGTTGTAGGGTATATTTTATCTTCATATGATTGGCGATTTATTTTATTCTCCAGCGTTTCAAATTAGCACTCAAACAATAAAAATAAAACCAGAAGCTAATCATAAATTATTAACACTCTTTAATGGGGAAAAAAACTGAGTGGTACTCAGTGGTTTCCCAAGTGTTATTAAAGGGTTTTGTTATTTCCTGTTTTGTTTTGTTTTTAGATTGGTGTTGATGACAGAATTATAAAATGTGACACGGCAAATAAACTGATCTTTTTGTTGGTTTGTTTTGCATGACACAATGTAACTTGGTGTAAAAAAGAAGAAAAAAAGAAATGATTTTAAAACTTTACTAAAATTAGTTAATGTCTATTTAAAAAGTTAATGTTACAAGATTTATGTGTTAATTACATTTAATGTTAATGTTAATATATGTTTAGTGTCAGTTTATTGTCAGTTACAAGAAATTTTTTTTTAAAAAGCTAGCATACCTTTGTTGTTATAGACATCTAGGTAATTTGGTGCTGAGAAAATAGTAATTAATGAAGGGAAGCCTGTTGTCTGACTTTTTCTGTACATCCTGTACCTGTAACAGAAACACACACAAAACGCTTTAGCTGTAGATTAGCTCAGTGTGTCAAAAAGGCATCTGGCAAGAATCAATAGAGGAAATGCTCTCCATTATGGTCAGATAATGGGTTCTTTTCAAAGTCACTATACTGATCAGACCATCTACAGTTTCAGTTGACACCCATTTCTTCAAAAAGAATGTTGGTAAACAGGCAATCGATTTACAGCCATTAACATCCATATTAAGAAAAAAAAAATTATATGATATAGGGCTGCACAATATTGGAAAAAAATGACATTGTAATATTTTGTATCTACGATACACATTGTAATATGGAGTACAATTTCTCCAGATTACTCAAATGGCTCTAACTGGCAAAAATGTTTTTAGAGTAATTGGAATCATTTTGTAATAAAAAGCATATGGAGAAACAATAATAATAAACCAATAACAAACATTGATATAAACAGCAGAGCAAAGAAACAAATAAAAAAAACAGTGCAAACATCAAAAGTCCAAGGCATTCAAAAAATTTGGAATAAAAATATCTATTAAAAATCCTTTATTGACATGGCTATTCCCCAAAAATATGCCTACGTGTTTTGGTAAACACTTGCCTTCATCGGGTGCCTTGGGCTTACTTTTGCTGGTTATTCTGATGAATTCCTTGCCCAAAGGGCACGGACACATTAATTAGGCTACTCAAGAGCACTTTTTATTTGGAAAATAAACAGTGATTTATAGTTATCTGGGAGTCTACATAAATTAAAGTCAAATAAAAAAAAGCATTCATCGTATTTACATAAATGGAATTAATCTTCCTACAAGTTACGAAAATTACAATTTATTGCGCTTGAATGCTTTAAACTGGCTATGTTCAAGCTATTATTTAAAATAAGCTAAAATAACACTTTTTTTTTGGAGGGAGAGGGGGGGTGGGTCAACTTAAATCTACTTAAAGGTAACTTAATTAATTTGTGTTGGACAACATGAACAAATTGTGTAGAACCCTGCATTTTTGTGTGTACATGGGCCTAAAGAAAGCATGCAAATTATTATTTTTTGGTTACATTGTAAAGTCACTTCCTAAATGTAACCATAAATCACGACTTTTTTTTAAACTGTGCCCACTGGTCAACTATAGCCCTTTGTTGGGCTTCGTTGGTCCGTCGGTTAGTCTAGCTGTTTTGTTGTGTTTCACATGTCACCTATTGCTAAATTAACGTCATAGCTCATTATCCTGATTCAGCATCTAGACTTAATGTTGGCCGTTGACTGAAGAGAGCGCTCTGACTGGTTATTCGGCAATGAATCAGAGCACAAGTGTGATGCAGAAAGTAAAAAAATCATGCCAAAAAAATAGACACAAAGAGGCCAGCTGTTACTTCTGTGCATTTCTCAAATATTTGTAAATAATATGGATTATCTGATTATCAGACATATTTGCGAAAGCTAATCTATTGTGGTGAGTGACAATTACTGTGGTAACAGTACTACTAATAAATGCTGCTTTGTTCATGCTTTGTCTGCGCATGTCGGAAGTTCAATTTCCCCTTGCCGAACGAAAAAAAACAGACAAAGCTGACATAGTTGTGTACCGGCCCTTAAGGTCGATATACACTTCAGCATGTGCAAGCGCTGACACGCACCTCTCAAAAGAATGTAACTAAAAATCGCAATGACACATAGCGCAAACTCAGTGATCGGTCGGGTTGGTAGCACTGAAGAGTGTAGGCGGAGCCGAGAGCCGCACAAACCCGTTGAAGCGAGAGTCGAGTCTCATGAAGGAGCTCCAGATGGAGACTTTTGTTTGGTGTTTACCTTTTGATTAAAGTTGATGCACGTCCACCAGTTCCTGCCTCTGAATAAGTGAGTTTGAGCTACTTGTACATTACCGAGGAACATAAATACCTACTGCCAGCTAGCGTTTCGGAAGTGTTATTGCAGAGCAACAAACAGCCCGCAAAAGTTTAAATGCACAGCTCTGCGCAAGGCAGGAGCCGTGGGTAATGCCTTTCACTTGACGCAGAAATACAAATCAGCCTTTAGCGGAGAATGAAAACAGACTGAACGGAGCTGAACACGTCCTCTTGCGCAGGTGTTTACAAGCAATCCAATACAAGGTGACAACACATCTGGGTTTTGCTTGTGCTAGTTGTTTGGCATCAACTTGGAGTGTCGCAGGTCTTATTCCACATTGCAAATCCTGTAATGTGACTATTGAGAATGCACACATTTCAATATCAATGCTGAAACAATATATTGTGCAGCCCTACTATGCAAGTCAATGGGGACTAGGCAGGGGAAAATAAATGGTTTCAAGGTTGTTTTCATGCAATAAAGTTACATTATTTCTGCAGTATAGACGTTTTATTTTTATTTTTTTAAGTGTTGTCAAAAACTTTTTTTTTAGGGTAACAGTATCTCCAGCAGAAATGGACCATCCACATCAAAAGCTACTGGTCAGGCCTCCATTCAGCAAACATTTGAGAAACAAATCGCTTATGCACCAACATCCAAGCATGCTATGGACCTGAACAGTGAAATGGCTTATTTATATCCAAAGAAAAGAAATACATCCAAATATGCCTTTCTAAGGTGTAAAGAAATCAGCTTAAAAAGGCATAAAAAAGTTCTGTAAATACTGGGAGTTATTAATGATGGCAGAATTCGATTTTTTAACAGGCAGACACAGAGGGAATACATTGGCATTACAAAATGAAAGCTAAAACGAGTAAAGTCTAATAAATCAACACAATAAATACTTACCCTGCATCTTGTGCTTCATGCGCTCTAATTACTGACAAAAGGTTATTGTTTGTCAAAAAGTCACAGACTGCCGCATAACTGTAAAACAAAAGAGAGACAAATTCTTGAGTATCGCACAGTGATAGGACAGACATTTCATCCCTTCTAAAGCACTTAATGAATGGAGCATGAGTCAATGCACTGGACCCTTCTTAGTACTTTTTTGGAGGGTTCTTCCAGTCGATTAAGCCCCAATACTGTGAACTCTCGAGCTCTAAGACTACCACCTGCAGTCTGTTAGCATTCAGTTGGCGTGGCACAAACAAATGCCAACTGGACAAGCAAACAGTGAATAAACACACTTATATATACACCCAGAATGAAAGCAGCTGGGAAACACCGATCAGGTTATTTCCAGAAGTCAGCATAAATCAAAAAGGATTTCCGCACCAGTTCACAAATGCCTGCATGGATGATTCAAGTACATGAGCAAATCCACAGAAGACACAGAAAAAAAAATGTTTTAGAACAACATTCCAAGCAGATTCTTTCCTACAGTTTTCTGAAATATGTCAAATAAGTGTTGAGCAATTTAATACTTGGGTTATTATAAGTGATGAGAAGACTCATTAGCAAATAATTACTGACCCAAATGTTACATAAAAATGATTTCAAAATGAGCAAAATTCAAAAACCAGTGATTTCCATTTGACTAAGGAATATGGAATAATGGGAAAAGAATAGGCAAACACTATAAAACATAAAAAGAAGCAATAATAAAGGTCTACCCCAAACTAGAGTACATTCAATCTATAAATACAACAAATATTCTAATTTAATAATAATAATATATTTTTTTCTAAATGTAACTATAAATTTTCTACATGAAGATAACATTAAAATTGGGAATGCACCGATATGGATTTTTCGGCTGATATCAATAACCAATAACTTACAGTATAAGATTTGGAGGCCGATAACCGATATATCAGCCGATCAAAATAAATATTTCAAAATGTTTTATTTTTATACAGAAAACATTTTATTTTTAAAACTTCATAAAAGTTTGATATGATCTTATAAACTGAATAGCCTTCTCAATTTCAAACGGAGATTTCTTTATTCAGATTTTACATAAATCTGCATGCCAAAAATCTTTTTTTGCATAGCCAATTAACATGCAACTTGACTGTTGCAAAAAAATAAGTTAAATAACAAAATGGGATTTAATTAAACAAGTAAACGGAAGCAACGCGTTGATAATAACAAATAGTCATATTAGATGACAAACAACCCAACGAGACGATTTAAACCAAAAGACACAATGACACTCTATCAAACATAACTACAATGATAAGGAATGTGATTACTTATTAACCATATTTATTATTATTGACGCACCGCAATACCACACAAAGGACAGACAGACTTTGAAGGAAAAAATGTCAGGAAGCTCAACCCACAAGGCAGTTGTGTACAATTACATATTCTATCGTTTAAAAGACATCTGCCTAATTTTCCATTTCGGACCAATAACCATAACAATACAAACAGCATTTATCTGCCGATATCAATATGGCTGCCGATATATCGTGCATCCCTAAATAAAATAAACTTAAAAAGGATAAAAAGTTGACATTTAAAAAGAATGCATTTTAGAGAAGTAATAACAATATCACAAAACTTATGTTTATCCAAGGGTATTATACTGTCAGAATCTTATTCCAGCCTAAGCCTAATGGAGACCAACAACAGCTGATAAATATTCAGTCATTCATTTTCCTTCAGCTTAGTCCCTTTGCTCATCAGGGGTCACTACAGCAGAATGAACCGCCAACTTATTCAGCATATGTTTTACACAGCAGATGCCCTTCCAGCTGCAACCCAGTACTGGTAAACACCCATACACGCTCATTTACACATATACGGTACAGCCAATTTAGTCTGTTCAATTCACCTATACTGCATGTGTTTGGACTACGAGAGAAACCGGAAGACCCAAAGGAACTCGACGCCAACACGGGGAGCAGCAACCTTATTGCTGTGAGGCAACAGTACTCAACGCCAACACGGGGAGCAGCAAACTTATAGCTGTGAGGCAACAGTACTAACTACTGAGCCACCGTGTCGCCCCCAGCTGATAAATATTCTAATTTAATAATACAATGTAAAACCCAAAAGGTTAAGGTAACTTCAACCATTTAACAAAACGGATTGCAACAAACCATTTAAGTTCATAAACTAATCCTAATGAGAACTGTGAACTTAAAACATTTGAGTAAACAAAGCCATTTGAGCACAGTAAAACCCAATAAATGAAGAGAACTCAAACCAGCTGAGTACTGTAAAACCCAATAAGTAAAGACAACTCAAACCGTTTGAGGAAAATTATTGCTACAAACCATTTAAAGTTAAACTAATCTATATGAGTACTGTGAACTTACTCCATTTAAGTTGAAGTAAGGAGGTATTAAATTAACTTATCAACTTTAAGACTGAGTTCAAAACTCTTTTCAATTGAGTAGAATTAACTTTCAGAATATTCTGAGTTAACTACATTCATTTCATTTAATATAGTTGACTGTTGGGTTTTACAGTGTAATAATAATAATAATAATATTTTATAAATGTAAATATCTATTTGCTACATGAAGTTCACATCAAAAACAGCTTGATAATATTTTTATTATATCACATAAAATAACATTTTCTAATTTTGAAATGGACTAAAAATGCACAGAGAAAAACTAATAAAATAAAAAATAACATCAAAAACTTGGATTTTTTTTACATGTTTAAAACTATTAGAATCTAAAGTAATGTAATCTAAAGTATTAGATCTAAAGTAATCAAATAATATTGACAACAATATAAATATTTTATTTATTATATTTTTATTATTGTTGTTATTATTATTGTTTAAAAAATCAGTCAAGCTATATTTTGTGTCAATAAAGCTGTTATTTTGTCAAAAAAATCTAAGTCACTGTACATGTATGAACTGGATGACCCTTTCCTGTTGTACCTGAAGAAATAGGAGCAGCCTCTGACGGAGTTGTGGTTAAAGTGCTCTGCCGTCTTCTCACTGCCGTAGTCCTCTCCTGGGTCAGCCCAGATCAAATCACACATAGGCCCGAATGCCGGGGGCTCCTTAAACCTGTCTAACTGCACAACATAGCGCAAAGGCAGAGAAAGAGGAATCAACACGTCTTGTAAAATGCTGTAAAAAGGCTTAAAGGGAAAAAAACAGAGCAACAACAACAACAAAAATGGACACTTACTTTCCTAATGTCGTCTAAGCAGTTAATTTCTGGCGAGAGGCCACCATGAACACAGAGGAACTGCTGATTTAGAAGAGCTGCAAGAGGCAAGCAGTCAAAGGCCTCCATACATGCATCATAAACCCTCTCTGAATACTTTATTTTACCTGTGAGAAAACAAAGACAGGACACATTGAGTTTGGTTGATCGAAGAAAGCCTGGAGAGACTCCATCCTCCACTGTATCATTAAACATCAGATATAATTTATAGGGATATTCATGAATGTGATATTATTCTTTGTGCTGCATTTTTAAATAAAATGCAAGTTAGAAAACTAAAACAGAATCAACCTTCATAATTCCAACAACAAATAGTCGTTGATCGCTCATTTATTATAGGTAATATATCAGTTATCTTTGGTTGATATATTGATATATCATCTTATCAAAGGTTGACCTGATTAAGAATACAAGCGTCATTTGTGATGGCTCCAGCATCTATTTCTCCATCATTTAAACAAATGAATTGGACAAAGATGCATCTATAATACAAGCTTTTGGATCTTTTTTTACTTAAACTGATATATTTAAATGTGCAGTAGATGATTCAGAAACATATTTTGTTGTGCTGGTTGAAAATCTCTTCACATTACAATATAATAATTCAAGTAAATGATCTAAGTGTATTTATATGTATTTTTAGATGCTGGGTAAAGGATAATACAGAAATGTTCATTCAATTAAAAATTGTCAGGCTGACAATTCCCATAATTCTGATAAGTAGCCCAAACTCTGTCAATAAATGTAGATTTTTCACGCAGATTCAACGTTTGTGTGTTTGCGAATGGACGCGCGCCACATTCATGTGCACACGAGAGAGCAACAGCAGTAAAAACAAATGCTGAATCAAAACTTTAAAATCCTGAATTAATTTCACAGTTACTTATGCATGCTGAAGGAAGTATGACACCATGGCTGAAGTATTTTAGACAAATAACGTTATGTTTTAAAACCATTTTTGTCACATAAAGATTTGTAGATGTTGTTTATGAATGAGTTATATGCACATGTGTTGTTCAGCCACTGAAATCTTCCGCCGAAACATTGATGGGACTAATTTAAATTTCATAAGGGACCTTTTACAGCATCGATAATGTAGATTTTAATTTAGTTTAACAACAAAACATATAGTGAATAGCGCTATTCTTATATTCACATTTGTTCATTTTTGAACAATGACAACCTGTGACACACTCTCTATATTGTTTACCATGGCACTTTGAATATTCGATCTGAAATAGCATGCAAGTATGGCTTAGTATTAAGTGCATGCCGCTGGCCAACCACTAAACATGAGAGAGTTAGACCAGCGATTCTTCCATGCATGAAATATTGCACATTATGTCATGTTTTGCTTGCTAAACAACTGAAAACGTGGTAGATATATTAGAGCTTTTCGTTTGGAATTGTAGTATTATAAAGTACTGTAAAGTTTTCTAACCGGCAAATGACATGATCTATTGGAATCTTTACGCAGCACGTTCGTGATTTCAGGAGGTGAGGCTCTTGACGAAAGGGTGTTTACAAAAATACTATGCAGATGTTGAGCATTTTGACAGATCACCTACTGCACCTTTAAGGTCAAATAAAGAAAATTTCAAGAATGATTTGAGGGAAACAAAACACAATATGTCAGCATGTTCTCAAAATGTACATTTATAGGTAGCATCGACAGAGTAATGTCTCATAGATCTCATTTTACATAGGAAAGCTCAAGTCTTGTATAAAAGACCAAAATATAGAAATAAGTTTTAACTGATCACACAATAAAAAGTGCAGTTTTTTTTAAGTATCTTTGTTGTGTTTCCCAATGAACAACAATTTAGTCAAATGTTTACTTATAAAATAATACATAATAAAATTACATGATACAATCCTGTCTAATAGAAATATTATAATTTGTTTTATATTATAATTTAACATTAAGGTAAGGCTGCTTGAATATGTGTTAATTTGTGTAGTTTATATTTACATTTATTTATCTTCCCCATTTTTATTTATTTTTTTAATAGTTTGGTTGGCTTCTCATTGAACGTTTTAAGTTATTGTTAGGGGGTGCTTTTGGGAATAAATAAATAAATAAATAAATAAATAAATATGGAACAACCGCTTTTGACCAGAGTTTATGTCTATTTATTGTGGAAGAACATCCAGTAAACTACTGGAACTTAGTCAATAATAAACAAAAGATAAATAAAAAATAATTGACCCCATGATACATTATTTGATAATCCTTTGAACATTATTGTTGCCAATTATGACCAATTCAGTGCATCAATGTTAAATTAAAAAACTAATAATAAAGAATTAAAATAAAAAATAAAGAAAATGAAATTACAAACCTCCAACCTTTGGATGTTAGCGTTAAGCAAAGTTAAAAACACAGCGCTATTTTAAAATGTATTCCAATAAACTACCTAATATATTTTTGGAACTATTGAAACCCTTGAAATTCTCAAATAAATACATGCACCATTTAATCAATAAAAGCCATCCTCGTCGAGAACATGTTAGATGTTTTCCGCATATTAATATTTTGTGATGTCAACCAGCATGTCTGTACAGTAATAATAACCCGACCTAAAGCGACGAGACCTGCCACCAAGCAGACAAAAGCAGCAGGGACTATTCAATTAAATTCAAATGAGCCTAATTAGTGCAATGCGAATACTTAATTCAGCTGCTGATTAAGCTTATTAATACTTCAGTATCTGGACTGAAGTAGTCTCATTAGTCTTGTCTTGGTTTCCACTAAATACAGCTGGGTTATTACACATTCGCTCTGTGAACGAGGTCTCATGGAGAGCACTTGGGCTTCCACTGACGGGCTACTATAAAACCACCTCCATCTTTGTTATGCAGAACACAATGGCCTCAACGCTATTGTATGAGCCTAATAGCAAACAGTGTTCATTTCAAGCACAAAGGACTAGTGCCACTGACCCATACAAAACCCGAAATCAGGGATTTAATCAGACCTTCAAAAGAACCTTCATTTAAATTCCATTTAGTTTGAACTAAGAAGCTAAACTATACGTGCTATAGTGTGCTCTATAGTAGCTAGTATTGTAGACCTATAGTATAAATGAGACAAATGGTCATTAGCTTAATCATTTTGTGTTGGGACAACCTGAACAATGTGTGCTGGTATAACCACCTGGTTAGTGGACCTGCGTGGGACTGTAATCTTAGGTGTTATAAGTTCAGAGAAAAAATTGTTTCAAAGTTTCAATTAAGGTTTTGAGTTTATTAGCTGGTGGAGAAGTGGCAACTGAACTTGGTGTTGGCAGCTTTATTAACAACAGTGATGTTTGTTGCTTCCCTCAATGAGCCTGTGCAGTTCTGAATGAGATCAGTCTTTTTTGCTTCCCCATCTGTTACATATAAAAACAATAAGCATTATTAAAGCTAATTGTTTAGTCTATTATTTTTTAAATTTGAACTGCAATAATTACCAGAAAATTCTGTTTTTCCAAATTAAGTGATTGAAATAAATTGGCTCAACATGAGTAAACTGTGTCCCAGATGACTTTAATTCAGTAGGTTAATCAAATGAAAGTGTCCTGACATCATTGGTTCAAAATGAATTGTGTTCTAGCGTTCCATTTGGCCATGAGTTGAAATTTGTTTCATTATGAAATTAAGTAACCAAAGTCAGTTTAATTATTTGGTTACAAATGATTAATTAGTTTCAAATGATATCACAAATTAATAACCCACCAACAATTAAAATGTACTGTTGATTTATCAGTAACACATTAAAATAATGGTCCATTAGTTAATGTTATAAGTAAATCATAATTAGTAAATGCTGAACTATGATTAATAAATGGTGTATACAATTGTTACTTATAACTAATAACTAGGGCCAGACAGAATCTGCTGACATTTTTTGCTATTTCTGAAGAGAATTTTGTTTTTAAAAAAAATCTGTGGATTATGTGGAATAGTTTTAGGAGTATCATGACTAAAAAATTAAAAATATAAAATTAAAAAATACGTTTTAAACTTTTATTTATGTTTACAATGCAAATCCAATGAGAATGCATATTTGGTAAACAAACCAAGTCTCTCAAAAATCTTTCAACTAAAAGACAGAAAATATTACTTTACAAACTGTATTGTAAATAAATCATATTTATTATTATATCATAATAATAATATTAATGAAGATAAAAAACTAAATAAATATAAATTTACAAACATTTACACAATTAAATAGACTCAATAATAAGCTAAAAATCTGTGGAATTCTGCGGATTTCTGTTTGTGCAGATTCCGTGTGGGCCTACTAATAACTAATGCACCATTACTTTAAAATCTTACCGATTTATTTTAATAGTAAATTAAATAGATCTTAAAAGGGACCTACTTTGCAGAAATCACTTTTATAAGGGGTTTAAACAGTTGTGTGGCAACAATCTGTGAACTAACCAGCTTCTAATGGTTAAAAAAGATCAATGTTATTTTATATAATAACACTTTATAAAAATCTGCAGAAACACTTTGATTAGCATTTTTTCCATTGTACATGTCATTAGCGGAGGAAAGCCCTGCCCCTCAGTAGCAAGTTCTCCCTCATAAGCAGGACGTTAGTCTTGTTTTTGAATCTACCACTATGCTGACGCACAGGCATTGGTAGCCCCACTCAAAAAATAACAAAAAAAAAAAACACACACACAATCTTATTTAAATGTTATGTCTGTCACCAAAATGCCACAATTAGGATCAAAGCCTAAAAGGGGCAGTTTCAAAGAGTTCTTAAACATTACTTGTGTGGTCATTTGAGCTGAAACTTCACGTACACACTCGGGGCAGGGGTTTTCAAACTGTGGGGTGCATATTACTTTGCACATTCCTTATTAACTTAAACGTGTGCTATAGTGATCTTCTTTGTCACAAGGGCAGTCATGATGCCATTACCTAAACAACTGAATATAACTTTACAAGATTAGCAAGCGATTTCTTTCGTCATGTTAACATGCAGGGCTTAAAAATGTGAGCTAATGTTAGCGCTCTAGCTGATATATTGCAACTGACAAGTGTTTCCAAATTAAATAAATGAAAAAAAAAGCTAGCTGCCAGCTGCTATGACATAAATGGCAGAAGGGCATGAACACTTCAGGTGTCAACAGCTGAAAATAAGTCCAGGTTGGTCACGTGATCTCCAAGCGCTGGCTTTAGGAGTGCAGTAATAACCTGCTAGCAGATGGGTTTCTGACTCAGTAGACGCGAACCAGGAGTCGACCACATCAGACAAACACAGAAGAAATCCCAGTGTAGAAATATAGCAAATATGTCTCCGTGTTTGTAAGCAACTGGAGCGTGAATAAACCTCTGCCTGAAAAGAAGCTAAACAGCTCCTATTTGAGCTCCTGGCTGGTCATGCTGCATTGAATTAAGGTTTTAAATAAATGATTGCAAAAGAATGCTAATGAGAGGCTTGACAATGAAAAGACATTACTCTCCCCATAAATCAGGGGAGGTAATGCCGCGTATAGTGTACAACGGCTCATCGGGTTTGTCTCTTTGTGAGCCAGATGAGCCTCGGCCACTTCACTATTCGGCATACTAATAACTCACACCTGGACACTTTCTGGCAGCAAACACTGAGCCTTACAAACCTTACTCAAATAAAGCTGTCTGCGCGCCCGTTTTCTCATAGGGACAAAGTGCTGTTTGCAGAAAACAGAGCACGTATGGCTCGTAAACAAGACGACACTTCTTTATGAACTTCTTTTTACGGCAGTGGGAATATTCAGACAGTCTTGAAAGGGTTGTTATAGAGGAGAGAACACTTCGACACTGTGACAGACAGGAGTTTGTTTTAAATGCCTTAAGGGTGTAAAACCAGTCTAATTTTCCCAACCCTTTGTCATCTACTGTAAATATTTAAATAGGACTTTTGTTTTTCATTGGCGAAACTGTATGCAACAACATTACATATTGAACAAACTGCACGCCTGCAGCCCATCCTTAAAGACAATCAAGTCAGTATTGCAAGCCAGTGATGTTATTCCAACGAAACTAAATCTACTAAAAATCATTCAAATAAAGCAGAAATTAAATCTATAAAATGTAAGTGGAAACTAAATGGAAAAAGAAAAGCTAAAGGTGTGAGCCCAGACTGGTGTTACGGTTCGGTTAGAGTACGATTATCAAGTTTTATTTGTCGTATTTTTAGATATCGCAATATGCTACCAATGTAGCCCAAAACAGAAGTTTTTTCCCTTGTGCTTTAAAAAACATTTTACATTTACACAACAAAGTAGTCAAACATGCTGTACTACATATACCAGTCTAAGCGTGTCAGAGCAGCTCAGTTTCCATTAAGTTTTCTTTTTATCTGCTTCTAATCGGAGTCACCAATAACTTGCTTTAGAGAATGCGGCAATATTAATTATCTCAGTTAATACTAATAGCTGACTATTCAAAGTGGTTTCGATATAAAAGTCTTGAATGAATTATTGATTCATATTAATGTTGACTGACTGACAACTTATGACAACTTTGAAAAACTTGTCATAATCCTTGGCATACAAGTCTTTAGCCTCCTTTCCCTTTCACATGACAAACAACAAGTGACAGACCAGAAGTCATCCATTTCCAATGAAGAGCAGTCCGGGAGTAAATAGTCTTCGAATTAGAAAAAAAAAAAAAAATCTAGAATAAAAAAAAGGCATTTATATTTATAAATGACAAATATATATAATTTCTGGTTAAGGATGTCAAAACCTACCAAAATTTTTTGAATAAATGTGAATGGTCTTTTCTAAAAAAAATTCTACACTACCCTGGCCTGCGTGTCGTTCTGGAAATTTTCTGGATATTTACCGGTATTGTTGTGTGAAAGGGGCTAATGATTCATTTGAATTATTTAGCCTGACATGTTTACTGCTCCAAAATACTTTTAATGTTTATGAAAATAAAATATATTGTGTTCAAAGGGGATAAAACGTTTTTTTGTATTTTACCCAGACATTTAAAAAGAACATATTTTAGAGCAGTAATCACAAAACTGTGAACCTGTGATGTTTTTATGCAAGGTTATCACACTGTCAGAATCTTATTCCAGCCCATGCTTAGTAGTAAATGTAGTAAAAAGTTAAAGTCATCACAAGTATTCTGTCCAGCATAAAAATCAACAATGTAAAGTAAATACGATTTAAAAAATCTGCAGTTTACGGTCCACCATAATAAGGCAAATTCTGAAGCCTTAACTGCAGCTGTAATGTTATACTGTTTGCACAGTAAATGAAAGTAGTAGCTGGTGACAGCTGTCTGAAAATGCAGCTTTTCAGACATCAAAGGAGGAACATCAGTGAAAGCGGAGGAAAAGGCTGGCGGGCGGTTTGAGCCAACACATCACTTAGCTCTCAGCGATTCTAGACGGTTCATTCCCACAGCACTCACATTCCTGTTTAAAGGTGAAGTATTCTGTGAGGTGCCGACACTCATGGTTCCCTCTGAGGAGGAAGAGGGTGTTGGGGTGGTTGATTTTCAGTGTCCACAGGAACAGCACACACTAAAAAAGACAGACAGAGAGAGAAAAAGGGACACGTTATATTCAGCTGGCACAGCTATGAGAGCAAACCTGACAAGGAGAAAACCCATCAGTATTTTACATCAATAAACTGATAAATGGATTCAATTTAAATCCTTTTGATGCCTGGGATAAGGAATCTTAATTTCCACAAATTCTCTTTATTGACAGTTGATGATCATTTAAACATATAATCAATTACTTGTTTGGTTGTTAGCCTTAAGATTTAGTTTACTCTCTTATTAACTATTTGCCCTCATGTCTTTCCAATCTCGACACCCTCGTTCATCTTCTGAAAACAAATGAAGGTAGAGCTCCAGCAACGGTCCTGAGATGTTTAAAGTCTAGCAAATGAACCAAAACAGCATCAGAATATTCCGTGTGACTTCTGCGGTTCAACTGTAATCGTATGAAGCTCTATGAACACCTTTGAGTGGCAAAAAACAAAACTGTAAATATAGCTTTGTTAGCCTTTATCTTCAGGTCTTCAGGGTGCATGTTTACAGGCAGTACAACATATTGCCATTAGAGTCAGCAGTAGAAATTGTTGTATTGTCCATAGTAAATGCACACCCTGATCTTGTACAAAAGACTATGTATTTTCAGAATACAGCAGCGTTCTTGGAGCTTTATATGATTACAGTTGAACCACTGAAGACACATGGACAATTCTGATCCTTTTTTTAGGACTTTTGTATTTTGATGATGAACAAAGAGCTCAGACATGAGAGTGAGTAATTAATGTAAGAATTATTATTCTTGGATGAACTAACCCTTTAATAATCCCAGACGTGTCTACTTCAGTTTCACATTTTCATGTCAAGATGTACAAATTACAATAAAATTGCATGCAAAAGAAAATGCTTCAGTGCGAGAAAAAAAAAGCAAAACTGTCCAAAAAAAATCTTATATTCTATCAAAATTGTGCATTTATTAACTAATGAAAATCTTGAGAATTCAAAATGATTTATGTTTACTTGTGAACATTCATAACTTATAGCCCGTTTCTACTGAATGGTACGGTACGGTACGCTTTCATGGCCGTTTCCACTGTCAGAACCATACCACTTTTTCGGCATCGTTTTTGGTACCCTTTGGTTACCAAAGACGAGAAAGGGTACCAAAAGGCGAAGCTACACACGCAGCTGAAAGCTATTGGTTTACAGAGATACGTCATTCGCTTACACAACAAGCCAGAATGAAAACAAAGAAACCGCCATGTTTAAAATACACAGCTGATGAGCCAAGAGATTACAGCGTAATTATATATACATATAATAACGAGCCATGGTCTACCTGGGCTCAAACAAACCTTGTCGTCTTGATGAACAGGCACAAAGCCAAAAAGAAGAGCAGATTTACCCTGTGCCCCTTAGTTTTTTAAGAGTCAGTCTGAAGCGCGAAAAAACAAAGGACAAGCCAGAAAAAAGGAGCACATTATTTTTATAGCAAACCTGAACACACTGCCATGTTTAACTATTATCATCACCTTTTGGAGTATTGACCCTTACTAACCCAAACCGTACCATACTGTACCAGTCAGTGAAAACCAGCTATTAGACCCAATCTATCCAATTCTACCCCTTTCCCTTACCCCTCGTTTTGCGTCTACAGACAAACCCTCCGTCATCAAGTGTTGACGCTGAAGTCCCTTATGAATCGTGCATAAGTTATTAGCTCACCTTATGTCTTTAAGTACCTCATATGGATACCTCATACCTCACAATTTTAGTATTTCTACATGTACCCGTTGATGTTAACTAAAGAAAACTCAAGTGTGCTTTGCAACTGATTGCAGCAGTGTTGGGGGACTTTATTTAAAAGCCAAAACCAGGTTTTCCAGTGCAAGACTGTTTAATTAAAAACAAAAAAGAAACAATTTCACGTCAAACATTTTCCTCTGCTGTTTTAAAAACAAACGCAACAGTGGCTTCAAAATCAAGGTACCAACCAAATCCTTAAATTTATGTACCGTTACATGCCTATTTAAAAGAAATGTGACTGTTTTCAAACCCCAGGGGCAAGATTACACCACAGTCAGTGTCCTTTCACTGTTTGGTGCTCAACAGATGGCCAACTGGGTGCATGAGGGACTGCAAAAGTGGGAGTGAGTGGTCGCACGGTAATTATTCGCAATGACACATTATTCTAAACAACAGGTTTGTTTGCTTCATTTACACATCTAAAAATCACACTAAAGTACAGACTGTGTTTGGCAGCAGACAACACAAACCTTGGCAATACATTGAGCGTTCGATAGAGAAGACTGATCTTCTGTACAGTACAGACAGACACACTCTGTCTTTTCAGTCTCATTAAAATCCATTTATCCTAATCCACACCACCCCCCCCCCCCCTCCCTTACATTTGCATGCAAAATCCCAGACACCACTCAGTGTGGAGAGAACAGGACACCAAGGTAACCAAGGACGACAGGTGTGCATTTAAATGACATGTGAAATAATAGACATGGAGGAGGGTGCGATGCAACAGCGGCGAGAGCTGTGACCGGAGCCTACGCAAGACGAATAATGAGCTCAAAATTGCAGGTAATGGTGGCCATGAGAGAAGGGTCTGAACGAAGGCCATTATTGCTGAATGGCAGACGACACACACAGAAACACGTTTTGTTTTTCCAACAAAAGTTTACACGGTCTTCAGGTCATCACCCGTTTAATAATAGGGAAGGATCAGGATGGACAACTAGTCATCCATCAAATATTAAGTGAAGCTGATTAGTTATGACAAATTATTTAGTTTTATTGTTTTGTTTAGCTTTATTATTTTATTTATGGTATTTTTTTTTCTTGAGCTGCAAATATCAAATTAAAGCTTAATAATATGGCCTGGATCAGACACACAAAAAGAAAATAATTGACTGCTTGTACCTTTGGGATATGCCAGCACTTGTTATAGCATTCATGCATTTAAAATACTATTACTGAGATTTTTGTTTATATAATCAACAGCATTATGACTGCTAAAAATACTATAGTATATAGTCCAACACATTTTTAAAATACAATCCTGCCTTCGTACAATGGTTCAGGCTGGTGGTGGTGGTGTAATGGGGTGTGGGGGATATTTTCATGACATACTTTAGGCCAATTAGTACCAATTGAGCATCATGTTAACGCCACAGACTACCTGAGTATTGTTACTGACCATGTCCATCCACTTATGACCACAGTGTACACATCTTCTAATGGCTACTTCCAGCAGGATAACACACCATGTCATAAAGTGCAAATCATCTCAAAGTGGTTTCTTGAACATGACAATGAGTTCACTGTACTCAAATGGCATCCTCAGTCACCAGACCTCAATCCAATGGAGCACCATTGGGGTGTGGTGGAACAGGAGATTCAAATCATAGATGTGCAGCCGACAAATCTGCGGCAACTGCGTGATGCTATCATGTCAATATAGACCAAAGTCTCTGTTTCCAGTAGCTTGTTAAATCTATGCCAAGAAAGAAAAAGGCAGTTCTGAAAGTAAAAGCACATCCAACCTAGTACTAGTAAGGTGTACATAAAGTGGCCGGTAAGTGTATATCCTTTAATATTTATATTTTAATTATATTTTGTTTTACTTATTTTTAATTAAAATTGTGTTTCACAATAGTACTGTTTTAACTGATTTTAATAGATACAATTTTTGCAGTTTTTGCCATTATTAGTATAGAACAGTATTTAGATAGGAAGCAAAGTAAGAGAGAAAGAGGGTGAAAAGGTCAAAAGCTGGAATTTAAATATCGAGATGCCTGAAGAAAAGAAACAAAGGTGCTAGCCTAAATGTTGTCACACTGCCAGCAAGGCTCACAGCGTCAACTGTTTTACTTGATTTTTGAATAAATAAATGCAGGTCTAGTGAACAGAAAACAAAACATTTTCAAAAAATTCTTACTGAGACTATAACAGTTGATCTGCTTAAAGCAGCCAGATATGAAGAGTTCAGATGCAAAACCCTCTAAATCCATCAGACCCCTTTTCTTGTAAACGAGCACTTTCTATCTGATCAGATTCAAAAGTTTCAATTTACAGATAATGATAAGGTTATTAGCTAGTAAATAAAATCCTTTTTTTTTTTTTTTTTTTTTTCAAAAATGTCACTTTAGACAATTCTTTGGTTTTTAACAAAGTAGATTTTCTCTTGTGTCAAAACCAGTTAAATCCACTTGTGGTTTCTTTTGCAAAAACCTCTAAATCCACCTATTGGGACAAGACATTGTAATTAGCTGAAAATCACTAAAGATGCAATTAGAAATTATTTTACCAAACATAGAACACACACAAAATACACAAACCACCTAAAATTAAAAAAAATATAATCTGTCAGGCGGTTCATTCCTTTCTGATAAACCAGGGAAAAAGCAAAAGGAAAATGAATGAAATCTGTCAAGTAAGTGCAATCAATCAATAACATTAAAACAGACAATAATTAAATCTTAATGATCTGTTGTCACTTCTGATATTTGGGATTTAGATTGAATTTAAATAGAGCAATGTAAACATTGTAAACTAAGCTTGGTAGATTCGAATAATGTAGTGTGTAAACATTGCGAAACAACAATATCTGTGCATTGTCCATTAATATAAAAAGCTTATTAGACGTATAGGTAATATGAACTAATATAAATAATGTATTGTTTTATATATTACATTTATCTTTAAAAAACAGCTTAAATTAGCAAATAAAACACAAGGTAACTTGTACGAAGCAAAAAGGGGATGCCTCTCAGTCAATTATAGAGCTGTCATTCATTCATTCATTTTCACCATACTCAAAGTCTTGGTCTCTTGTTTATCCTCATAGCATCCCCGTAGGATAAAAGAACGGCATCTTAACTCTGTCTTTCGTGAAACGGAGTTGCTGTGTAAAATATAGTAAATCGGACTCATTTCAAGTAGCGTCACTGCTTGATGAATGCACATTACACTTTCGACTGTACATTTTGTTTTGTTTTTTCTTGTAACGCACAG